TAATGGCGAAGGCGGGAGGGCCGGAGGGCGGGGGAGAGGCACCCGGCTCGGCAGCGCAGGCAGCGAGTGCTCGCTTCCCCTGCCCTCGAGCCCTTTATAGCCCGGGCGGGAGGCGTTGCCGGCGCTTTTCGTCACCCCTGACAGCCAGAGCCAAATTCCAGAATCATCATTTTTCTCTCCCCAGTTTCATGTCTTTTGTCACTTCCCACTAGAAGCACGACAGCACACACAGGACCTTCTCCTTCCGCTTCGGTTCCCAGCACCCAGCGTGATTCAGACCGAAGGCTCCTTCCTCACGGCTACGTTTTGGCGTTTCGCTGTTGCACCTGAGACGCAGAGGTGCTGGCTCCAGCTCCAGCCCGCTGCTCCTGCGTGGAGTAACACGAGTGAATCCTCTGTGCTGTGCCAAGTCGCCCACAAGTGTCTTTTATCATTCAAAATCTACAAAACTATTTATTTGCTTTTTTCTAAAGAGTCTGAAGCCAACAAAAACTGCTGACTTCAGAGCTCTGCACATCCCTAATCTCTGCATGGGCCAGCTCAAAGTCAGATGGAAATTTTCCCGTCAGGACCTCTATCCCAGGACAAGCACAGACCTGGCGGCATTTGTGTACTGATACCATATTTGGCAGAAATCTTGTAGCTCAGAAGAGCAGAAACTCCAGTAATTTCTGCTTACCAATGGTCTAGGGTGAATCTCTCTGCCGAGGCCGGGAAGTCCCTACAACAGGGGGTTTTCGGTCCGTTTAGGAGGCAGAAGCCTGGTGTTTCCCAGTGGCACCTGCCTTGCTGCATCACCTTCCACAGACTCCACAGAAGCAGTCTGTGACTGCTGCAAGATCTGCGGAAGCTAGAAACCTCTGTGCCACAATTTCTTCCATCTCGTTGCTGAGGCAGCTTTTAATGCTTAAATAGCCTAAATCAGAGAAAAAAGAATTTGAAGCTGCGTTAGACAGCCAGTGCCAGGACACGTTGTGTGCAGTTCCCGGAAGCGCCTTGAGACAGCCAGTGCCAGGACACGTTGTGTGCAGTTCCCGATGGGAGGAGCGCGAGCAGCTCGTACCAGTGCTTCTGCCTGCGTGCAGACGGGCCTTTTGCTGCAGCTCTGCAGCTGGAGGAGACAGCGGACCCCGGCAGGCCCAGCAGCACCCGTATCACCGCTCCCATGGGCGAAGCGCAATGCGCGCAGCAGTGAGGGGCAGGAGCACCGCCACCGCCTGCGACGCGGAGGGTTGAGACCGGGCAGCGCAGAAGCAAGAGCTGAGGCAACGCAGCCACCCCGGTAGCTACGCCTGCATCGTGCTATTAAGGGATTGAGCACAGTGATTATAGTAATGCAGCTGGACAGGTATTAGCGTGAAAAAAGCAGCAGAGAACCAGGAAGGGAGACACTGCACTGTTTTATTCTTTGTTGGGGAAAAAAAAAATCCCTTCACTGATGTGGCGCCAGCTCTTGCAGTGTACAGTGGAAAATCGCACGCCCAACCTGCTGGCCTGCCCGGCTCCAGCGATGTCATGCTCAGATAAAAGGAGTTCTTTCTTCTATTAGCAGAGGTGCCTGTGAGGTAGTGAAAGAGAGTTATAGGGATTAGGAACCCCTTTGTGCTTTCTCTCCTGTGGTGATCCCCTTCCTTCCCAGGGCCCCTCTGGCTGTTTTCACATTCTACCACACTTAACTGATTTTGGAGTTGCTAGAGCGTTCCCAGAGCCTCACCCTTGGTAATCCACAGTGCCTCCTTTCTTTCATCTGTTCCCTGAAGGACACAATAACAACAACGCTTTATCTGCATCGCTGCTAGATCTCAAGGACTTAATAGGGAGTCACGTTCTCTTTCTTTCGCAGCTCCAGGAGAGGTGGTACGATTTTTCTGGGCGGCCACCAAGGAAGCAGCTTCCCCAGAAACAGAGTCCAGATCCTCTTAGTGGGGGGCTCTGGGCAGCACTGCCTCAGAACTGATCGGCTTCAGACCTGGCTTTCAGTCACCCCCAAACTGCAAAATCTGTGGATTGAGGATGTGCGCGTGCCTCGTCCCTCAGAGAGCCGGGGCGGAGGGGACCGGGGAGCAACCGCCGCTGGCAAAGAGCAGAGCGTGCAGCCGACCGAGCCCAGCTCGCGGCGCGGCCCTGGGCAGCCTGGCAGGGTGAGGGTCAGCGTTCCTGGGCACGGAATCCTTCATGGCTGGGATTACCCAACAGCCGTTGTGTGGGAGCTGTGCTCAGGAGCCGTTCCTTGGCCACCCCTGCTCTGAGTTCTTCCAGATGTGCTCGCAAACACCCTCCTGCCCCAGGCAATTCCCAGGTTGGCTGTGAGCCCCTCACATGGGCCAAAAACTGTGCTGCGAGTTCTGTCTGTCCCCCCGCTCAGGTCACCCCCCCATTTTAGGCCAAGCTACGAGGCAGCCTGAAGGTGACAACAGCCACGAAGTGAGGCAAAGCCCTGCCACAGCCCCACGGGCGGGAAGCACCTGCGTGTTGGGATCTCCTGCTGCATCCTCACGACCTCGGCCCGTGTTTAAGCTCTTTTATTACAGCTGGCACCGGAGCCTGAGAGGGGAGCTGGAGATGTCCTGCACTATCAGCTTTTTCTGGTCTTTTGTGACCAATGCTCTTGCCAGCCAGCTGCTGCCCTGGCCTCTGAGCTCCTAAGCCGCAGTCCCCAAACCGGCCCCACTCTCAGAGAAACCCTTATCGCGAGGCTCCCTGCGCGCCGGCTCTGTCAGCGCGGCGTGATTACACACCAGAGCACGCACCGCTTCGGCTGGTTTGTTACCAGAAGAATTCAGCCTCCCAGGCTCTCCTGGAACACTCGCCCACAATAAATTCCCTTGAGATAAAAAACCCCAAACACATCACAACGTCAGGCGATGGTATCAGAGCCTGCTCCAGCACGGAGCATGCCATCGATGCTATCTCTCCCTGCGCTGTGCTGCAGGGGGGAAGCACGAACTGAGCTCCTGGGCTGGCAGGGGCAGGGAGGGGAAATTACACCCTGGGAGCGGCCAAGCAGCGCCCGCAGTAACCCAGTGTGGTGAGGGCTGGTGTGAAAGGCCAGGGTCAGTGCGTTGCATTTGCCTCAAACAACAGCACTTAATTGCACTTTTAATATCATGAATAAGAGCTAATTAGGAGTCATTGGGTTTCCCCTGTGGGCCAGCTTCTCCTGAGCCTTTCGCAGCCGTTCACAGCTCAACAGAAGCTCGCTGGGGGATGCAGCTGTGACTGCATCCTCACTGAAAGATGTCTGCAGTCTGCAAGGAGCGGCAGGCACAGGCTTTACCTCTGCTGACAGGTTTGCTTTGTAAATTTGAACAACACCAAAATGGCTAACAAGTACATCAAGGTGTGGAGTGAAGCCTGCTGTCTTTGTTTCTATCTCCGCTGCTGATTCTTTATCATCTGCTAGGACATGTCCCGACAGTCCCTCCACGTTATCTGAGAAAAGGCGATCCTGGGTCTGTTACCATGAAAGGAAACTCGATGGTGTGTGTGCAGTGGAA